ACATTGATGATAGTTCTCTATAGAATGGTTTTCTACATCTGATTAAGAATTAAAAAAAAATAACATGAAAGATTTTTATTTCAATGTGAAGAACTTTCAGGATCGTTTTCTTCGAAATCAATCTTTATTTTAAGTTCTTTACTTTTCAAGTACTGATTTTTTATTGAAACTTAAAATTTTTGATAAAAAATGTTGTCAAAAAGCCTTTTTTGCGAAATTAAATGATACAACATTATGGATTTATGTATACTTTTTGCATGTTTTAATGTTTGAAATAAGATGATTCATAAACCTATGGAATGTAAAGTTTAAATAGACCTTTCATGTTATATAATTAAATTTAGTAAAAAGATTTCACAGGCATTAGGTTTTAACTCTAATTAGAAGAAACACATTTTTTTCTGTTTATTTACAAATATTTTTCCGATGTGTTTCGAATGTTCCTTCTCTAAAAAAAAATATTCCAGTTTGTTTTCTCCTGCATAAGAAAGAATATCAACATTTTTCCTTCTTAAGTTAAATAAGTCACAATGAAGAAGGAACGTTACAATGCTACACTGAAGGCATTTCCAGTTTAACTGATGATCGTGTTGCTCTGCTAGCAGTTATTCGTCTCCAATAACAACGCGCTTTATAGGTCGCTGTGTTCGAGAATAATTATTATTAATGATTTTGAAAGAAATCGTTTGAATAAAGAAAAAAAACTATAGTATTTCAAAAGTAACTTTTAAAGCAGACGATTTTTAACAAATAATCTTTATCGATATCCTTACAATTTTTCACGACCAACTCTTCTTATTCTCATTATATGAGGGAATTTTTATGGTGATTAATACTTTGCATTTTTGTTCACAAAATTAATGCGTATAAATAGTTCTTTTTGAATTTGTTTCGTGACTAAATATTCCATCGGGGCAAGCGCAAACTCGTGTTCTCTAAGTCGCCATCGATTTGTAATGATGGACGTCCATACGATCGCAACGAACTATATGGGACGTTGTTGTATGAGACGAATACCTGCGATTTCTACATGAAAAGTCATTCAGTTACTCTAGAGACGTCTTTAAAGCAGCGTGTAGCATTGCAACGTTCCTTCTTTACTGTGGCTTAATAAATTTAAAAAAGAAAAATTTTTGATATTCTTTCTTAGCAAAAGAAAACAAAATGCTCTTTTTAGAGAAGGAACATCCAAAGCACATCGGAAAAATATTTGTACATAACCAGAAAAAGAAATATGTCTATTCTTATAAGAGTTAAAACCTAATGTCCAAGAAATTGTTTTACTAAATTTAATGATATAACATGAAAGGCTTTTTTAAACTTTACATTCCATAGTTTTATGGATCATATTACTTCAAAAATTAAAATGAACAAAAAGTATACATAAGCCTCATAATTTTATAAAATTTAATTTTATAAAAAAAGTTTTTTGACAACAATTTTTATCAAAAAATTTTAAGTTTCAATAAAAATCATTATTTAGAAACTAAAAAACGTAAAACGAAGAATGTTTACGAAACAAAAACAAAAAAACAATTCTTTTTTGACGCCATTTTTTAGTGCTAAGAAAGTTCATCTTTGGAATTTGCCAAAAACAAAACAAGATGCAATTTTATTTTTTCAGAAGCGAAGTATTTTACCAAAAAAAACGAAAATTTACCAATTCCCATAACATGAAACTTTATCTTGGTAAACGTACGTTTTGGAAATGTTATTTCATTTGGAATCTTATTTATAAGAGTTAATATGGCGACAGAAATAGCGATTGTTAAGATAGAGAAGAAAATAGAGATTGTTTTGAATCTATGTTAAACTCTATATCAGCCCATTTCCCACCGAAATCCGATTGACTACTTTGATTTTAGATAAAGTGGTTCATTTTATCATTTGTCGCAAAAATTTTAGGTATAGATTGGCAGCACTTGAAAACCGCCAAATCTGTAGCTGCGGTGGCGTTAATACAGGGTGGTCCCGAATTCATGGTACAAACTTTAATGGTAGGTACAGGACATTGTAACAATGATTTATTGTATAGGAATGTATAGTCGCAAGTGACGTGGTGAGGCGTAAACTGGAGAAATAACGGCCGAAAGGAAAAACAAAGATTTTATTGAAAGCGTTGTTGACAAGTGTCATGTTTACAGTAAGTGTTCAAAATTGCGTCCACCAGAAGCGATACATGCTTGACAGCGTCGGTGGAGCGATTGGCGTACACGTTCAAAGATGCCTGGTATTTCACGCACACCTGCAGCAGCTACAGATATGCGAGCGACGAGATCCTCATCTGAGTCAACTGGAGTCTCATAAACAAGATGCTTTAGATGTCCCCATAAAAAGTAATCGAGGCTCGATAAATCGGGAGATCGGGGTGGCCAAGGGATTGGTCCACCACGCCCAATCCATCGAGCACCAAACGTGGCATTCAGGTAATTCCGTACATCAATGCTGAAGTGTGCTGGCGCCCCATCGTGCTGAAACCACATGCGGTTACGAATGGCGATCGGAACATCATGCAGCAGTTGTGGTAACACTTCTTTCAGAAAAATAAGATAGCTTCCGCCACTGAGTCGCGTGGGTAGTAAGTATGGGCCAATCAAAAAGTCGTTCACAATACCAGCCCACACATTAATACAGAAACGTTGTTGAAACGCATGTGGACGCGTTGCATGTGGATTATCGGTTGCCCACACATGGGAATTGTGCGCATTAAAGACACCCTCGCGTGAAAATGTCGCTTCATCTGTAAATAGCACATCACCTACGAAATCCGGCTGCAACGCACATTGCTGCATCACCCACAGGCAGAAGTTCACGCGGAGAGGATAATCTGCCGGATTCAATGCTTGTACTTTCTGAAAATGGAAGGGGTGTAAGCGATTTTCGTTTAACACTCTGCATACAGTCTGATGACTCACACCTACGTCACGCGCAACAGTTCTTGTGCTTGACTCGGGTCTATCAGCCACAATGTTCAAGATGCTTTCTTCCAGCCTTGGAGTGCGTACAGCTCTTAATCGACCAGCGTCATGTCTGTTGACGTCGAACGCACCTGTTTCACAAAGTTGACGATGTAACCGTTGAAAAATTCTATGATCCGGCATTCGTCGATCAGGATACTCCGCGCGATACATTCGTAACGCAGCTCTGCCGTTACCATTTGCACGGCCGTACATGTAATGCATGTCTGCTTTTTCTGCATACGTAAAGTCACCCATCGTCTACGGCAGCACAATTGTGAATGGCGCTTTTCCCTACTGCGATGCATCATTTTCAACGGCGGCTAGACATCTACTGCCCTCTACCGGCAATGATACCAACCGATCACTCCATTTCTCTTTCCTTTTATTTCCCCTGTTTACGCCTCACCGCGTCACTTGCGACTATACATTCCTATACAATAAATCATTGTTACAATGTCCTGTACCTACCATTAAAGTTTGTACCATGAATTCGGGACCACCCTGTATACATAAGTACCGAATTTTTATTCATACTTTTCTGAATCATATTACTTCAAACATTAGAATATGCAAGAAATATACTTAAACACATAATGTTATACCATTTATGTTTTCAAAAAAAGTATTTTTGACAACAATTTTTATCTAAAAATCAGAAATTAAAAAGCGTAAAACAAAGAATTTTCAGGATAAAAAAATTTTTTTCAAAATTCCTCATATTGAAATAAAAAACTTTCATATAGAACTTTCTGTAGAACGCCTTTTGAAAATGGCAGCTTTTAATCATAATAGGATTCGTTATCGTATCGAGAAATAAAGCCATAAATACACTTTATTGCACTCTAAAATAATCAACCGTCATTTTTCAACTTCTTCATGTATGTTTTATTTTGAAGGTTACACCATAGAAACATTTATTAGAACAGAATATATGTTTTGAAAAGATTAACCGCTTCCCTTACCAATTGTTTTGAGGGGCTGTAAATTCGTGTAGTAAGTAGTAAGTATGGATCAGAAGGTGAATTAAATTATCAATAAACACGAATTCACATAACAAACAAACTTAACAAGTTTTATTATTAAATATAACAGATCTGTAAAGAAATGGCAAGAAAAAGAACGATAATGTTTTTCTTATTAAAAAGCAAGCGCGTGGCTAGATAATGATTGCACGCGACAACTGGTAAACGGTTTCAGCGCAGTGTAAGTATTTAACGATAGGTGGCGGTCGCCACAGGGCAAAAGTTAAAATGCAAAAAATTAACATATTTTTTTATTTCATTAATAAATACACTGTATTGCACTCTAAAATAATCAACCGTCATTTTTCAACTTCTTCATGTATGTTTTATTTTGAAGGTTACACCATAGAAACATTTATTAGAACAGAATATATGTTTTGAAAAGATTAACCGCTTCCCTTACCAATTGTTTTGAGGGGCAAAAGTTAAAATGCAAAAAGTTAACATATTTTTTATTCCATTAATAAATACAAGGAACTAAAACAAAACATAATACACAAGTTCTAAGTTCAAACTTTAATTTTTTTATGCGTAAAAAAAATGTTTAAGTTACCATCAGTTTACTATCCCAAATGATCTCGGGCAAATGAAAAAAATGTAAATATTAGTCTTTGTATATGTTCACATCATCTGAAAAATCACCTGCATTACTTTCAGTTTCGCTCGCGAGCGCCATTTTTTTTTTTTTAATTCTTTTTTCTCTATGTAAATTCATCAACTATCGTATATACCATTGCACAAAACACGTCTGCAGCCCCACAACTCCCAAACAAATATTGACAAACTTCCAATCATTACTTTTTGTTTGGCTACCGGCCGAGTAAAAAGGTGATAAAACTGACGAATTTTACTATGCCCGAGTTTATTCGGGATAATAAATATTTGCGATCTATACATACCCGAGTTAGCTCGGGATAAACAGGGAAGCGGTTAAAACTTGGAATACAATACTTTATGCTGTATACAATAAAATATGTGATTTCTTTCAATTATAATAATATATTTCTGTACTTTTCAGATGGAAGATGGGAGAAAAATTGTTCCAACAAATCTTCAATGAAGCGTATTAATTTTGCTTATTGTTTAATTTCTTTCTGTTGTTGTTGCTGTATTCAACTAGCATATATCTTACTGTGAGTGACCTTGTTGCCTTCCATCGGTGAATGTTGACAATCACTTTGGTAAATGTCCGAAATATATTCTAGTGCACATTTGTTCGGCATGCCCCACATCAATGTTATTTAAGGTCAAGTGCCACTGCTCAATATGTTTTTAACCGAATGTTTCTCCTAATCTATCCTCAGCAGACATTGAAATATCGAATAAATATAATAATATAAACGAATAAATTAACATCAAATCGGATATAACGAATATTTCAGACATACATCAAAATGACTATGTGATTGCTGACATTCACCAATGAATGTCAGCATTCTCTTTATTTATGTTATTCACGGTAACATTTGTATTTCAAAACTATAGTATTATTAATCCGACAATCTTTGATATTCATTCCTTTTCGAACCCACTTTGCTGCTTAATTCATCGGATACATTTCAACAAACTACAAAACATTCATGTCATATTTTATAATCATCTATGAAAGTGTTCTTATACCGAGGTTGTTTCTGTGGAAATTAAAAATAAAGAAAAGAAATAGAGCCTTTGTTAAGCTTTTACTTAGTACTCAATTTACCAGCTATACATGTCACTTTGAGCCATTAAATTCAATAATTGTTTTCAGATTTGATTTTGGAATGTATTAATGAAATTAATAAATTCTATAACTGAATTAATACTTTATTATACTCAACTTACTATTTTACTCAACCACGGGACAATTAAATCCCACTAATATTATTTTCATATAGCAATGAAACGAAGAAAAAAATATCGCATTGGAACTTGTCTGTCCCTTAAATGGACATTACTGACAAGTTTGCCATAGTGACAAGTTTGCTCCAACTTTTCTGAAATCTTTCCAATCACTTCTTTTAAAACATTTCGACCCATGACCATATTGACTGTAATACAGTTTTTGGAAAAGTAGCCTGCATGCAATGTTTTGAAAGCCACAGGAAAAAGTAAGTGCGTTTAGTTTTGTGAACTTATCGCTTATATTCAAATTACGCATTTTGCCGCTTGTTATTCAGCTACAACCAAACTTAGGATGTTGTTGACCTTAAAAAGTCTTTAAAAAAATGTCCTTGAAAATGCAATAAACACCTCCAATTCTCCAAAAACATTTGAATATGACCTTAATGCAAGACACAATTCAAATGAAGAATATTACATTAATTTTTTTATTAACTTTTCTTCCTCGTTTTGCTTAAATTTTCCAAAAAATATTTATTAAAGTGTTTATTTCATAGATGGCAGCACTGAAAAGAAATTTGATTCATTTTTTTCTTCCGAAATATTTTACGCAACTATTTTACACGATTTAAGTTATAAGCACTATTTTTTTCCTTCTTATTAGCGGATTTTCGTTAGCTGTTAGATTAGTATATTTTAAGGCACGTTAATTTTTTCTACACGTAGGCAAATCGAAAACGGGAAAAATAAAAATAATAATAATAAAAATAATTGAAATCCAAAGAAGAAAAATCTGGAAAAAAGGAAAAAATTGAAAATCGGGAAAATAAAAGATATATTATCTTTTCATCAGCTCACACGATTATATTCACTAATAGGAGTAATTTCTAATATTGTATCAATATAGCCAAGGCAAAATATATCAATACAATAGTGTGAGGAGCACTCAAAAAAAGTTTTGAAACAAAATAGAAGAAAAAACAGAACAAGACACGTTGGTTGATTGATTGAATGTAGAGTTTAATGGCACAAGAGCCAAAAGAGGATATTCTGCTCCAAACAGTACGTTGATGCAGCCTAAAATGTAAAATGCTTACTACAGTTTTATTTTTATAAAATGCGTAAAGGTAATAAGACCGTCAATAACGAGACGAATATATTTAAAAGACAATAAAATCCTACAAAAGGCGTATTTATGTAAAATACATGAAATAGGTAAAACGGTGCATGAATACTAAATAAGAGTGAATAAAATTGTTATTTGTTACCATATCTTCAGTGATATCAGCAAGCTGAGTGACGAGATTCCAATCAGTACGGTGATATATGAAAGCAGAGGGTCTTGGAGTATTATTAACATTAGCTGAATATGAAATAATTATAGAAAAGTGATCGCTGTTATGAAGATCATCATCGATCGAAAGTTGTGAAAATTTTAAAATTGCAGGGGAACATAAAGCTAAATCAATGCAATGGGATGTTTGAGTGGGTGCATGAAAATATGTGTCCTCNTATTTAAATAGATATTCTTAGAAACCTTAGAATTCCAAGTAATTAGTTTATTTATATTAAAATTAAAATAATTTCTTTTATCGTATAAATCGACAAAGCAGATATTTTCTTGTTTTATAATACCCATATTCAAAAATTTTTTTTAATTAATATTATCATCATGATTACGAAGCAAGTTTAATTCCTCGGGTTAAATATTACTCAATAAAATAGTATAATCTTGAAAATTAAAGATAATGAAATCATCAATAAATCTAAAAACAAATTTGATATTAAGAGTAGAATTTTTTTCATTATAGTGCAAAAGTAAGTTAGCTAAGAGAGAAAAAAAAATAAGATCCTTGTGATATTCCATAAATTTGAAGAAAAATATCTTTTCCATCGTAAAGATAGTTATTAAAATGACAAAAATTAATTAGAATTTCCCAAGAATCACAATCGCAATTAAGGATATTTTTAAAATCATAGTAATAATTCAAAAGGATATCTTTTAGTTTAGAAAGGGGAATGTTATTGAAAAGATCCTGAAAATCAAAAGTCGCAATAGAATAAATTTTATTATGTTTAATAAATTCTAAAATCGGTTGATTATTTATGATAATCCAAGAAAAACTTTTTTTTAAAATATTGTTAATAATTTTATTTAAGTAGTTAGAGAAAATGGTGCCAGGTTTAGTTAGGTAAGTATTAGACCCACATGTGATTGTTCTAAATTTTATTGAAATTTTATGAAATTTAGAACTGATAATTAAGTAAAGCAATTGTATATTGCTGATTCCAATTTTTAACCTCTTATATAAAGCTGAACAAATAATGACAATTTTATTATTTAATAAATATAATGACAATATAAAAATAATGACAATATTACTAAGTTCGAAATTTTTACTATTATTTAAAAGTTCAGCATAGAATTTTTTACACAAGATTGCATAATTATTGTTAGCTTTGTCTATGGGGGTAATTACAAATTTTTTTTTGTAGTTGCTTAATTGATTGAACAATTTTAGAAAATAGTTACTGTTATTTAAATTATCCTTATTATTGAAAACAAAGTTTTTTTAAGTAATAATAAATACTCCATTTCCATTGTGTCAGCATACCTAAAGATAAAGATAATCTAGTATTTGATATCTTTAAACAAAAACTATTGAGATCATTAAGAAAGTATTTTAGAATTTAATTTATTGATATATGGTAAATGGGTCTAAATTTTGTGCCTTTTATCATTAAATTCCTAAGTTCTAAGTTTTCTGTAATATTTAAATTACCAGTAATAATATGTTTATGATGTTTATCAACAAATTCAAAATATTTCTCTTCACAGTGACATTCATAATTGGATATATTAATCTCCCTAAAGTTTTGCTCATATCATTATAATTAAATATAGTTCTACCAAGAGATTTATTATATTTTAAGTTTTTTTATTATGTTGAAACCTTTTAAAGGAAGCAAATTTTTAAAATTTTCCAAAAATATTATGAAATTTAATCTTATTGAAAATAGGGTTTTGAAAGTTTATACCGAAATATAAATTATATAATTTTTATTTATTGGGGAAAATTTTACTCATTTCAGAGATTGTAGTTACAAGATCGAAAGTAAGAATTTTGAAGTGTAAATTGATACAAGAAAAGTTAATAATAAGATCTTGAAGCTCATATACATGGGGAAAACAAAATCTTTAATTTGTTTAATATTATCATGTTTATTGAAATATTTTTCCATATTAGAAATAAAATTTTTATTTAATTTGTCACTATTAAGATAGTTTCTATTACTTCTTGAATCCCGTTTACCACGATTTGTACGCTTATCTTTAATATGAAAAAGTGAATAAGTTGAGGAGTTATTAAAGTTAATCTGTTGGAAGAGCAACCGAAACCTTATATCTTGATAAACTCTGTTCAACATTTGTTATTGGAAGATTTTTAAAATAAAAAGATTCAATGCCAAATTTACTCTAATTTATATTTCTCAAACAAAGCGCTCTTAAACTGCAAAATATCATTCGAAATTCATAAAAGATTGTTAAAAAAGGGCAAAAAAACCAAAAAGGAAAAATTCAAAGGAAAAAAAATATGAATAATGAACACGAGAAAAACTTCAAAAAAAAATGCAATATAATAATAAAAATAATAATGCATTTTCTATCGCCAGGCTTGTAATTTTGAAATTCAAATTCAATTAGTATTTTATGACAGATAAGAAGAAAAAAATTGATTTAGGATGTAAATTTCTGATCCTCAAAGTTTGGAGGATAGCCGCAATCTGTGAATGCTGCAAAAAATAATTTCTAATAATTATTTGTTGTTTTTTATTTAACAATAGTAAAAAAAAAATTTTTATTGCGAAATATCTACATTTTTCCTCCCTTTTAACAAAAGCAATTTTTACTTTGCAAAATTTGAACGAAATCGGTCAAATAGTCCTTGTAAAATCAGTTTTTAATTTTATGAATTTTTTAAAATTTGATAACTGACGAGTTAATTGCACTAATTAATTAGCATGTTTAAAGTTAGGCCCTTTAACAATAAGATTGAGCCCTAGTACGAGAAAATTCGATTAGTAAATAAAAAATGATTCAAGATTATCCGGAGTTTTTTTCCGCACTCAGCATTTGGAAGTTTTCACACCAGATTGAAACTAAATTCTATGAGCATGCAAGGTCGCCAAGCATTCGCCAACTAAAACGATAGTTTAAAACGAAAGAAGATGAAGTTAAATATACTTAATCCTTTAATTTAAATTTCGAGGTCTTTCAGCTATTTAATGAGGTACTATCGAATCATTTTGAGTCAATAATCCGACAGTAAAGGTCGTTTTCAATTGGCGGAAGTCATGCCTTTGACCTCTGTGTGTTACTTTCCAATCTTGTGCTATATCATGCATTTACATAATTGCATTTTCTTTAATTCCCCCTTTCATCTCATAATGTAAAGATGACTCATTTTAAAAACCTATTCATCATGAATGAAGTTCTTCGATCCGTGATAGAGTCGAATCGTATCTTTTTACTCACAGGAAAATCGATGCAGAACATTTTAATCGTTCCCAGAGATTTCCTTTTTAAGAATTATAGAATTTCTAGAAAGTTTAATTGGCAGCGCTCATTTTCGCTATATTAATATACAGTTGTTTATCTTAATGGCTCTAAGCCTAATTCTGTTGAAAGGAAAATTTCGTTTGGGTTATTCTTGTGATGATGTCAAAGCACCGGGAAGTAGAACACTTCTAGCGGAATATAATATAACTAAGGGCGAAGCTAAGCTATAATATAGCTAGCCCCTTATCTATAATATACTCACCAACCAGAAATTCAACACTTAAATTTTTTCTAAAAATATTCTTAAATGTTGAACAAAATATCATCACTTACATTC